ATGATAGATAGATAGATAGACAGACAGACAGACAGATAGATAGACAGACAGACAGATATATGATAGACAGAGACAGACAGATGATAGATAGATAGACAGACAGATAGACAGACAGACAGATGATAGACAGACAGACAGACAGATGACAGACAGACAGATGATAGATAGATAGATAGACAGACAGACAGACAGATAGATAGACAGACAGACAGATATATGATAGACAGAGACAGACAGATGATAGATAGATAGACAGACAGATAGACAGACAGACAGATGATAGACAGACAGACAGACAGATGATATATAGATAGACAGACAGACAGACAGACATACAGATAGATAGATAGACAGACAGATGATCGATAGACAGACAGACAGACAGATGATATATAGATAGACAGACAGACAGACATACAGATAGATAGACAGACAGACAGATGATCGATAGACAGACAGACAGACAGATGATATATAGATAGACAGACAGACAGACAGACTGATAGATAGATAGACAGACAGACAAGACAGATAGATAATCCATAATCCATACATTTTTATGCTTTTTTCCCCAGACAGTTTAATTGATTACAATAGAAATGATCTAGTTTTGTTTTGTGTCACTTTAACCAGATTGACTTTCCTGTCAGCATCTGAAAATAGCACTGTCTGGTTCAAAACCACCATCTTTTCGGTGCAGAACCGGATTTTCTTCATGGAAACGAACAAAACAGGGCCATATTTGGCAGTTGCTGTCAATGGAAACGGGACACACACAAGAAATAAAAATCCAGTAACCAAACCAGATCTACACCCAGAAATACAAGAAGTTGGAACTACGACTCGTTTAAGATAGATGACAGACAGACAGACAGATGATAGATAGACAGACAGACAGACGATAGATATAGATAGATAGACAGACAGACAGACAGACAGACATATAGATGATAGACAGACAGATGATAGATAGACAGACAGACAGACAGACAGACATATAGATAGATAGATGACAGACAGACAGACAGATGATAGATAGATAGACAGACAAATAGACAGACAGACGATATATAGATCCGCTCTAGTGTTTTTCCTGTGTCAGCTGAGAGCCGATATAACCAGTTATGAGCTGTCAGGACCAGCAGACATGATTTCTGGTCTGAAGCGTTTGGCAGAACTTTGTCCTGCAAAATTATCAGTTACATACGAAGTTAAAAGGGATATATATTTTTCATATGCAAATGTGAATGACGTGCACCAGCTGATCAAACTCACTAGAGGACACTGGCATAATAAAGCATCTTCAATCTTCTCCATTTTGGGAGCTTTGGGAAGCTCATACAGCTGTTCTGGCTCAGGCAAAAGGCTGTGATTTTTAATAAATGTGAACCATATTAATAGATGTCATACTGCAGCAACACAAAATTATCGTTAACACTTTACAATAAGGTCTGATTTGTTAACGTAATTTAATGTATGAACTAACATGAACTAACAATGAACAGTATACTTTTACAGAATTTAATAACCTTTAATAATATTCAGTTCACAGCGCATTAACTGATATTAAAAGACAAAACTTTTGATCCTAAAAATGTATTAGTAAATGCAAACATTGACCAAGATTAATAAATGCTGTAGAAGTTTTGCACATAGTTAGTTCATGTTAACTAATGATAACAAATAAAACCTTATTGTAAAGTGTTACCAATTTCTAAAAATGTCTACCAGAGTAAAAAAAAAAAAAAAAGTAATATCAGATTATATAGTTTACCTGCTGTAACAACACCTGTAATTATCAAAATATATCCGTCCACTTTCATAGGAGATGAGGGACTTGGAAGTCTTGCTCCAAACCTTTGTGAATTCTGCACCATCCTATAAAGTCATGACATAAATACATATAATTGAGATGAATAAATAAGCTTTCCATTGATGTATGGTTTGTTAGGATAGGACAATATTTGGCTGAGATACATATATTTGAATATCTGGAATCTAAGGGTGCAAAAAAATTTTAATATTGAGAAAATCGCCTTTAAAGTTGTTCAAATGAAGTCCTTTGCAATGCATATTACTATTTACAAAATATCTTCATGGAACATGATCTTTACTTAATAACCTAATGAATTTTGGCATAAAAGAAAAATCTATAATTTTGACCCATACAATGTATATTTGGCTATTGCTACAAATATACCCCAGCGACTTAAGACTGCTTTTGTGCTCCAGGGTCACACACACACACATACAGTATATATATATACATATACGTATATACATACATACACACACACACACAGTAGCATGTACAGTAAGTTCAAGACAGCAGGTTTAGTGGTCTTTTGGCGTCTCCCTGTGGTCCTGTTTGATATCGCAGCTTGACTGGTGCTTATTTATATTAATAAGGTGGAGGGGATGGGGGGATAAATTCTGGATAAATTGATAGTCACGACATTATTCTCCTACGAACAGACAACTAAACAAAATAGCATGTAATGTACTAGAGGTTGTGACAAAATGTTTATTGCTGCAGTCTATTATTTTTTTTTTTTTTAATTATTGCAAAATCTGCACCTCTTCTGTGGCAAATTTTAATTTCATAATGATTCTTACTCCGTGAAGTCAAGCAGCAGAAGTTAAGTGACAATATGCAAAAACTACTGGCCCATTTTGGGGTGAACTAAATATACAGGACTAGTTTTACTGTTTATAACACATGTCATGGGGCATAAATTAAGAGTATACCCACTTCACCACTGAGCATATATATATATATTTCATATAAAGTAAACATACATATAAAGTGAACACAGCAATACTTACTTGGAGAATGATGTTTCTCAGGATCTTGAGATTTGCTCCCAGTAATCTGCCAGCGTCACTGGAGCAGGATCCTCTGGATCTCGAAGTCAGGAGATCACAGCTGCTTTTACTGCTGCACATAGGGGACGATACTCACACCGTTCACTTAAAACACACGGACTAACACAACACTAAGCGGGATAATCTTCAGAAACGGCATCTAAGTAAGTGCTGGGAGAAGTCAACTCTCTGTCTTTTTATATTCAGACTCTGCAATCATTTTAGCGTCGCTCAAATTCACATTAACGTTAGTGTTATCCAAACCACAACAGTTAACATTAACGAATATACTGGAGAACATCTGCGTCTTATGACTTACATAAGTCAAACATAAGCAGATACATTCATTCATGTGGCTCTTATTATAATTAAACGTGTGTTTCAGTAGACATTCTTCGCTACTAAGCTAACTGCTAACATTTCCATTGTTTACATAAATCCTCATATCAAGCATTTCCAAAACGTGTTAAAAGTATAAAATATATTCGCATGGAAATCTTACAATTGTCTCCCTCTAGTAGTAAGTGTTATGCTTGCTTTGAAATGCTTTGCTAATCACATGTGTTTACAAAAACTCCCGGGGGTGCGTCATCTGAAGGCGCGCGGTCGCTGTTTCCGGCTGGGATATGTAGTTCAGTACTTCACAGTGGTGTATAGTGTTGTGTTAACTAGTTTGTAGTGATCATAATAACTAACACGTTCTCAGATGAGTGTGGAGAGATGAGGGGCTTCTTGAGGCTGACTGTCTGTGCTGTGAGGCCGTACAGTGGAGGAGGAAGAGTCCTTGCCAACCCTGACCACATCTTTCAGCATAACCTGTGGTGTTGAGTTTTGTTAGAAAACCTGGAATATTTTGTATGTACTTACAATTATATATTATATCGCAGGACCCACATGAAAAAATACTATAGACATTTATAGTAAATACTATAGTGTTTTTTAACCATACTATAGTAAAGTACTTGAATTAATTTGTTGTGGTAATTCTATAGTTGCTGTGGTAATATAAACAAATTACTTTACCCAAGTTTTCTACAACTATAGGGTATATTATACTACAGTATTTATTACAGTTCACTATAGTTAATACTCCAGTATGCTGTAGCGTTCATTAACAAAGTGTTGTAAATACTATAATATATACAGTATAATACACTTTACTATAGTATGGTTCAAAAACACTATAGTATTTACTATATATTACTATAGTATTTTTTCACGTGGGCTATTTTAAGTGGACAGGAAAAAACAGATAATAAATAAAAATGAAAAGTTGATTAGCAAGAAATTACAGTCAAACCAAAACACCTTCAACATTTCTCACATTATCAGTTTATTCGCTATAGTTTAGAAAATGGTAATAAAATATGACAAGAACTCAGAGTTAAACTGTGTCAGAACAAATTCAGCTTGATAATGTTAGATAACTTTGATAGAAAGGTACACTGTAAAAAATGACCGTGAATTTAACGGTAAAAGACTGTAAAAATGCTACAGTAAACACCTGTTAAATGGTTAACGGTAAATTCCCCTACTATATACGGTGAAAAACTGTATTGAACATTACATGTATTGGACATTAATTTTACGGTAGTATACCGTTTTTGGAAGTGAAAAAGACCGTATAATTTACAGTGAATAACCGTAAATTGACATTCCCAGAATTCCCTGCGTTACATTTTCAAATTTGATGTTTTTTTAGTTGAAATAACTATGTTTCTTCTTAGTTTTTTCTTATCAGTTTTGTTTGGGTTCAGACAGATGATTGATTGATAGAAATGTTTGTTAGGGTTGTATGTTACACCTAATGTTGTTAAATGAATGTTTATTGCATTATTTCAGTTTCATGTGTGTCACCATGATGGTGTTTAGTGTTTGTGTGAATGACAATGACATGAAAGGAAATGACCAGGAAACAGGCAATCATGTTTGATACGGACCATTTATTGGTGAGAGGTGCAGATTAGCAATCACTAAAAATAAATAACTTATAAATTATGGGAAAAAGGAGAAACTGAGTGACGCCAAAACAAAGAAATAATCAAAAGCAAACCAACCCCGATAACTGAACCTCGACCCAACTAATCTAACTATCAAACAGAAAATGTAGAAATAAAACCGCAAACTTCAGCGTATCCGACGCCCAACATAAACTACCCTAATTAATAACAAAAATACATAGGTGGCAGTCACTCCCTAACTAAAACTAACAAGAAAAGAACTAAAGTTAAATGCAAAAACTTACCTACCTCCTTTTCCCAAAATCATTCTAACAGGACTCACTTAACAAAAACACATTGGTCTACGTTAACTGATCACAGGGGTAACTTAGCACCACATGTCAAACCAGCAACTAAAGCACTAATCATTCAGCAACAGGTGTTTCTAAGTTCTAGCGAACAATGACACAGGTTTAATAAACCGAACCACAGGACCAGAAAGCCTCAATAAACCAACGAGTAAGTCAGTCAACTGAACAATTCAAAATAACTAATAAACACAACTCAAACAGTCAAAGAAAGAAATGAGCGCGGCTGGCAAAAATGGACAGTCGCCCGCTGGCTGGAAAGCGGGACGGCTGACAGCAGCACACGAAACCCGGCCGCCTTTTAAACGGGTAGGTCCATCCTGATTGGTCAACTGATGAACCGAGCAGCCAATAAACAAAACCTAAGAATTTAGAGCAGAAACAACAAAAGAGGAAAAGGAAAAAAGAAAACAGGGAGCAAACAAAAATACAAAACATACGAGGAACATAACAATATATATATATACTGTATATATATATTATACACACATATATATATACACACACACACACACACACACACAAAGAAAAACAAGTAGATAGAATAGAAAAATATAAATACATTTTTTTTTAAATAAAAAAAAAGATAAATGTAGATAAAGTAGAATTAAAATAGAATAGAAAGTTCTAGAGTTAGAGGGTCAAATAAAGGACAAGTTAAAAGTTAAAACCGTAAAACCTAAAACGTTGCTACTGTATTTTTTACGGTAAAATTCCGGCAACCACAGCTGCCGTTTTTTTACCGTAAATTTTACGGACTTTTTTTTACAGTGTATGTAATGAATTCGGTTGAATAGCTGTCAGCTTTTAAATTTAAATACACAATTAATACCAATTTAGGTCAGCCGATTACCAAGTAATGCTTAATTTTGTTCAGTCTGTGGTGTAAAAATTGCATTAGCAATTAAAGAAAAAACACTTAAGCAAAACATGGTCAGGTCAAAGTGTCTGAATAATTTTTGGTCCCAAATTTTTATTAATTTTACTGCTAGTCCACTGTATGAAGAGTCTTTGGGTGTAATATGTCACAGTTCACTTTATGTTGCTACCCTCACTTACATAAATGAACTATAGTGTCCTGCACCCACTAGTAAAAAAATATAAAAAATTATATCTGTCTGAATAAAATTATAAATAAAATTATATGTCTGAATATTTTTTGGTTTGGTTGCTTTAAATTGATCAAAAGTGATAATACAGACATTTATAATGTTACACAAGATTTCTATTTTTAGATAAATGCTGTTCTTCTGAACTTTCTATTCATCAAAACAAATTATACTCAGCTGTTTTCAACATAGTATTAATAATACAGATTTTTGAGCAGCAAATCAGCATATTATAATGATTTCTGAAGGATCATGTGACTGGAGTAATGATGCTAAAAATTCAGCTATGAAATCACATTACATTTTAACATATATTCAAATAGAAAACAGTTATTTGAAATAGTACAAATATTTCAAAATGTTACTGTTTTGGCTGTACTTTGGATCAAATAAATGCAGGCTTGGTGAGCATCTTTAAAAATCTTACTGTTCAAAAACTTTTGACTGGTAGTGTATTTGTGTATAAGCAGGATATTGTACAGTCAGTAATGTTCAGGTCATTATCATTCAAAAAACAGACTGTAACAGAATGATCAGGACACAAAGCAGAGGCTGATTGTATATTATCCCATACATATTAAATTCTGAGATAAGGAGATGAAAATCAGTAAGTTATAATAGAAACTCTTATTGGGAGTAACGAGTAAGCAGGTGTATTTGTGTATTTCTAGGGGCAGTAAGGCGTTTCTGTACTGCTGTGACTTCTCATCTCAAGCTATTGAGCTCATCCAGGTTAATCTGCTCCTCAGTGCATAAATATACCTGCCACCTTTACATCAAACAGAGCCCACACACCCCCCAGATTTACATTAGCCAAAGCCTTTGAGAATGGATAAAGATGGGGAGGGCAACATATCCTCTTCTCCATTCATATTAATGACGGCTGATCAGTCGTGTGGGAGTTTGGCTCTGCCTCCTGGTGCTCGATGCTTTTTGGTATGCAGAGACCTTCATCAAATGCCAACAGCAGAACATATTGAATAGTGGGGGAAGTGACATCCACAGCATTTCTATTCAAGCAATATATGCTCGATTTTGAGTAAAACTATTGTTCTGCTTTAAAAACTGTACTCATGAACTAATATTTGAACATTTTGTGAAGAAGTCCATGTCAAAAGAGCCCACCCAGAGTCTCTGTGATATCCAGGACCTTATGATTTGGATGCCTCCTTCAATATAGACTACCATTCCAAAGTTTAGGCATTTTTAAAAGAAATTAATTGAGCAAGGACAGCTTCAATTGATCAAATGTATCATTAGTAAAGTGAAGACTTAGAATTTAAAAAGTCAATATTGTAAATAAAATCATGTTCTCTTGAATTGCTTCCACAAAATAATAATCAGTACAACTTTTTTCAACATTAATAATAATACGAATATAATATATAACAATAATAATGTCTTGAAGACTGAAGGTTTTGAAATATGTTCAAAAGAAAACAGTTGTAAAAATGTTTCACAATATTACTGTTTTACTGTATTTTTAATCAATCATACGACGCCATGTATAAGCTTAAAAGTCCTGAGATGACTGAGTGGCCTGTTATAGTTTTTATTATTTTGCTAATGTGTTAAATCAAGAGTAATTTATGGAAATTAAATATTTGAATGTTAAATTCTAAATTGTAAGTATTTAATATTAATTTTTTTTTGTTAAAACAAGCATTTAATTTATTTAACACCATTTCTCATTGCTAAAAATATCTAGTTTGAATATATATATATATATATATATACTGTATATATATATATATATATAATATTTGAAGTACTATTGTATATATTATGCTAGTACTGAATTTAATTCATACTAGTTTTAATTTGAATAACATTTTTCCATAGGCTTAATTTTGATTGTTATTTATTTATTTATTAATATATTTTTATTCTGGGCTGAAATATGACATGGACATTGTAGGATTCACCCTAAAAGTATTTTTTGTGTGTGTGTGTTCAAAATGTAATTAAAGCAACTCACATGTCATTATCATTCCCATGTATTTATGTGATTAAAGTGTCCTCTGCTTTCATATTAAAATAAATGGAACTCCTAACATTTGTTAGTTGTATTAGTATGATAAAATGTCCGCAGTGTATTTCCATGAAGGCAAAATCTAAGATGCTTCACTAAAACTGCAGTCATTTGAGGACAGTTGT